CATCCTAGTATCCCATATGTTAACTGAGATTGAACCAAGGTATAGTACACAGTTTTTAAATAAGGTATATCCAGGTATTCCCTTAAAAATTTGAATTTACTAATAATACCTCTTATCTTTTCAGCAAGATGACTTATATGCAAATCCCAGCACAGATATTTATCGATGACAAGTATTTAATGTGCCCTTATTTTGGAATCTGCGTTGTTTGGTCGACAATCAAATTTCACAGGTCAGGCAAGTTACTTAAATAGGAAGTAAACGGCATGTAACTAGTTTTCTCTACATTCAGAGTGAGTTAGTTATATGCAAGCCACCTTTTAATAATAGAAAAGTCAGCTTCTACCATAACTTTTAGGTTTTCCCAAGTGTCTTCTTTATAAACTATTGCGGTGACATCAGCAAAGCTCGTTATGGCACCTTTTATGTTCATTGTCAATAAACTGTTTAGTGAATAATAAAAGTCCAAGAACGGTGCCTTGCGGAACACCAAGGGTTACAGCTCTCATCTCGCTCGTGGCACCATCAAGATAAACCTGTTGATTTCGCTCATTCAAATAACTTTCTATAAGTCGAAAAATTCTTCCCCTAAATCCATAACATTTAAATTTTTGGAGTAATATATTATGCGATACCGTGTCAAAAGCTTTTAGGAGGTCAACTAATATGCATAATGCTGGTTTTTTGAATTTATAGCTTTATAAATGGATTTTGTTAAAGCACATATAGCATTTCCCGTTGTTTTACCCTCTCTAAAGCCATACTGATTTTTTGAAATAATCTGGAATTTGTCTAAAAATTTTACAATTCTGGTTTTTAAAATGTTTTCTATAACTTTGGATAACGTAGATATTAGGGATATAGGTCAATAGTTTCCTACTTCCAATTTAGATCCTGACTTGTGTAATGATTTAATAATACCGATTTTTAGACATTTAGGATAATAGGATTTTTCAAAACATATATTAATTAAATCTGATAAAGGTTTACTAATAATGTCTGATACATGTTTTAAGGTTTCCGATCGAATGCTATCATTTCCAGGAGACTTTGTTTTTGAGAGATTTTATTAAATTTTCAACCTCGGTTTCATGGGTAGGGTATAGATAGAAAGTGTTTTCAAAATGTGAGATATTTTCCGTGAAATTTTCCGGTGTTTTTATGTTTCTCGCATATTGTTCCCCTGGGCGGATGTAATTTCGGCCGGAAAAAGGACAGGTACCTAAAGGGGATATGTAATTTCGGCCGGAGGTTTAAGGGTTCGTTCTTATCGTATAGGTATTTTCGGCCGGAAGGAGCAGGTAAAATAAAATAAGATCTAGAATTGCTATAACATTCTTTATTAAACCAAATCAAAGACACTATTACTTTAAAACTAGAGCTAAAAACAAACATTACATTTTTACGAACTTTGATATGATACAGTTTTTACAAAATTAAATCCATAAATTTTTCCAGACCGAAGCATATTTACCATATTTTCAATAAATTTTAATTTATTTCTGACTTGCTTGTCTTTTATTTTTGCTGTAATATTTAAACTTTTTATTTTTAAATATGAATCGATCTAGAATTATTTTTACTTTTCTATAAAAATAAATATTGAAGGGTGGCAAGAATAAAATGAAGAATTCAATTTTGAATGGAACGATTCACAAGCGTTTGTGGTTCGTTTTATAGATGGATTTTCATCTGCCCATATATTTGGTGGAAAATTGGAATCAGGTGCTATATAATATTGTAATAGATAGTCTGCGTATTTATCCAACAGTTCCTTATTTGGTTTGCAAGACATTAAATCAAATTTATAACAATCCTCAACATTAGATGGTTTTAAATAAGTAAGCCCAAAAGTGTGAATAAGCCATTTACTTTCTTCAGAGTTTTTGTCTTTATATATTTGACTTAACCCTAAAAACTGAATTTTCCTGTACCACGCTTGATGTAAGTGAAATCTACAACCATTTATTTTTGTTTTTGACAAAACATTTTTTAGTGCGATATGTATTGATATTTTAAAATCTACGAATGCCTCCATCGGTTCAAAAACTATATTAAAAACTTCCAAAATTTTAGATTTAAGCAACAGAAAAAGTTTAATATACATATATGTCAGCAATCTTATTTGGTAACAGACAATATAAAAGAGGTATATAGTGCCCATTTTCCAGGCCATGAATGGTAAATAATTGATAAAAATATTTCGTACAAAAAGAAAATGTGCCATCCATATATATAACATTCATTTTACACAACGTAGTAATATTTGTTTGGCAAGAAAAAACAATGATATTATCAACTGAACTGTTAATAAACAAAAAATTTTCACCTGTTGTCGTTTTAGGAGAATACATATCAACTACAGTATGTACTTCATGAATATCTTTAGGTGGGGCTGGCAAGAGCTGACGACGACTCTTATACACATTTCTTCTTATGAGATTTACATCCGCGGTAATCAATTCGTCCGGTAAATTTGTTGAAAGGACCCTTTTTATAATTTTCGAAGGTTTCTCCGATATGTCCTCCTGGTCTTTTCGCTTGCATGCATTTGTGACAATTTTTCTCTGCAAAGAACATTGATCTGGTTCATGATTCTGAGTTAACTCAATCCTGGTCACAATATATTCGGCACCAACAGTATACAATTTAGCTAAACATTTTAAATTTTTTCTGATGCACCTCCAACGCACTTCCCCACTCTTTAATACGTCTTGTTAACAAAATAAAAATTTTTCTACAACGCACCTCCAACGCACTTCCCCACTCTTTAATACGTCTTGTTTACAAAATGCAAATTTTTCTACAATAAGCAAGTCACAACCGCGTGAACTCTTTACTATCGAAACTGTCATCATGTAATATAGATGTTTTCTATCTCTTGGTCGCCCACAAAATAAGTGGTTAGTATCTTAATATAAAAAGGTCCGGTACTTTGTAATTAGGTAATCACATTGTTAAACTAATGAAAATTAAATTAAGAAAGATGAATGTAAATGTTTTAACTTTTCTAAGAAATGGAAATATGAAAAGGGTAGATTATTATTTTCAGGTATATTCCAAAATCCTATCATAAACATTACCCTCGGCCGAAATTACCTATGCCATTAGATGGGCACTTTGCTTTTGGCAGGTAGGCGAGGGGATTACCGGCCGAAATTACTCCCGCCGGTTCCCCTAAGTCGCTAAAAAAATTGTTAAATTCATTTGTGATGTTATTTTTGTTTTAGGGCTTGTCTTTCCGCTTATCTGATTTAAACAATTCCACGTACCTTGTGAGTAGTTTTTGTTTTTATCTATTAAACATTTAGCGTATTCTTTTTTCCTTTTGAATTGACTTAGTTAATCTATTTTTAAGATTTTTATAGCTTTGTTCTAGATAATACTTTTGTTTTTTTTTTTGTAATTTCAAATAGATCATTTTTTCTGTTATTAATTTAAGTAGATCTTTGGTTATCCATGGTTTTTAATTTTTTTACTTATATTTAAGGGTTCAAAATTTTTTTCAATATATGTATTTAAAGGAGTTATAAATGTTATTGTCATAACATCTACGTTATTGTTTATATTAATCATGTTCCAGTTCTCCTGTTTTAGATCGTTTCTTAGTTTAGAATAATTAACAAATTTTTTATATTTATTTAGCTTTGGTTTATTGTAAATAAATGAACTTTTTAATGTAAGGATTTCTGGGTCATGATCTTTAGGGTCACACCTGAAGATATAAGAAATTATTTCAGTAAATATCGGACCTTTACATTTGACATAAAAGTGATCTAAACATGTACCGCTTACTCGTCTAGTTATGTCATTGATATACGAAATATATTCAAAAGAATTTAATATGGTCTTATATTCATTTACAAAATCGACGTCTTCTAACACATTAATATTAATATTAATATTAATATCGTCAGTTATAATATGCGTTCTGGTTTTAGCTTTACTTAAATATTCATATAGTGATGAATTAAATAACATGGGAGAATAATTAGGGGATCTACAACCGAGATATTGATTGCGTTCTCTTTTAGTCATGTTAAAGTGGTATTTGTACCCAACTGATGCTAGAAAAAAAATATGTTTCTAGGTCTAGTAGCGGAGATATTTGATTCATCTTAAATAGTCAGAAAATTCGCTTTGGGGTAGAAAAACACCCTATTTGATCTTGCAAGTCGTTCGTTCTCTTTTAGACATATTAAAGTGGTATTTGTACCCAACATATGCTAGAAAAAAAATGGTTTCTAGGTCTAGGAGCTGAGATATTTGATTCATATTAAATAGTCGGATAATTCGCTTTGGGGTTGACAAACACCCTATTAGACCTTGCAAGTCGTTTTATTTGATAGATAATAACGTTTTAATAAATCTTTAAAAAATCAATTTTACAATTTATTACTTTTTTTTAGAAAGTACGTAAACCTAAAAAACTAACAAAATTGAAATTTAATTTCCCATAAAATTTCCTTTGCAAAAATGTGCCACTCTTGATGCTTTTTTTATCTAAATTTTAGGGGTTGTTCATCCCATACTCGAGGGTGGAAGCGTGGATGCTGAAATTAAGAAAAAATGTGTCCTACTTCAAACAAAAATTAACGTGTCCAAGCATTTCTGCTTCTAGGTGCATAATTTTCACCCTGAAGAGGGCGCTAATATCGGAATTTAATGCAACAATATTGGCATTACTAAATTTCTTATAAAATTTACGTTCCTAACATTTTTTTCATTTTTTTCTACCTAAAGTTAGTTTACCGTAATCATCCTATGACAATGTTGATAATTTCGACAAAACAACATACATAAAATACTTTAAGAAGTAATTAGTAAGGTATGTTAAAATTGTAGAATATTATCGCAACTGATTTTTTTAGCAAAAAAGTAGATTTCTTCAAATCACACTTAAGGAATTCAAATACCAATTTATGCATATTTTTAATTTTTCTGGATTAATCATAAAATCTAAATGCCTCATTCTTAAAATTCAACGGCACTATAAAAGTAGATGTACCACCTAAGACAGTTAGATAGTTGTGAATTTTATATACTCAATATCAGAAAACAGTGAAAATGTACAAAGTTAAATTATTGTTAGTGTTTATATTCAGTACACTTAATGCGCAGATTTCCCAAATAAAATATTCTTTGGAAACAAAATATATAGAAGTCCCTCTGGATCACTTTGCGTATATTGAAGAACCGAATGTTTTCCAATTGAGATATTTAATAAACGCCGAACATTATGATGAAATGGGACCAATATTTATCTACACAGGCGGCAAAGGAGATATTTCCGTTCAAGCTCAAAATGCAGGTTTCATGTTCGACATTGCATCCACCTTCAAAGCTCTCCTAGTTTTCATAGAACATAGATACTACGGTGAATCGCTGCCATTTGGTGACACTTCATTTTCTTCTTTAAAACATTTGAAGTAAGTATGCAAAATTTGTTTTCTACGCCTACATGTATTTCTCCCGTGAAAAGGAAAACCTAGTAATTCAGTTTATATAATTTTACAGTATAACGGATTTATTGGGTTTTCAATGACATTAAGAAACTATATGGGCAAATAAAAAGTTTTTTCAAATTCACTTTTATTTTTTCAATACACAGTTTTTAAAATACAGGACTTTTAGTCCAATTAAATAACAAAAAAAGCTGCTTCGAGCTTACATTAATTTATAATTGGATGAAACAAAGTGGAACTTATGTATTTTGATGTGATCTTTCTGATAAAAAGCAAAAAAAGATGTAGCTGTTGTTCATTTTTTTTTAAATTAGGAAAAACCGGGTTTTTCGGAATTTTTCATGGTAAAAATGCTAATTATCTGGGCAAGTATCATTCCGATAGTAAAAATAAATGCACCAATTAAAAAAGGAAGTAAAAATGCTAATTATCTGAGCAAATATTATTCCGATAGTAAAAATAAATGCACCAATCGAAAGAGGAGGCGAAAATAGTTCGGAAATTCATTGCACAGGTAGTTTTAATGGCGAATTTCTCGCCGCCAGAAGTGCTTTTACCAAAAAGTTGTTTTTCGTTCCTTTCATCAGAACCATGGAAATGAAATTTGCGATGAATTTATGACGAAATTATAAATTTTAGACATATGTGCCCAGAAGTATTTTTTTGTTGGCTCTCAAATAAAATCCCAAAATCTCAAAAATCTCAAAGTCCCGCGGCGAAATCTGCCATAATTTTTCGAGAATTCGCAGGAAGTAGTTTTTTTCTAACAAAAAAATATATTTGAAAAAACTAACAAAAACCGTGTACATTCCTTACATGTCAGTTAGTTCTGACACTTCATAGACATCATTGGACTCTTCAATATGCTAATAAATTTTCTTCATTTCTGATGTGATTGCTCAGTTATTCGGGCGACCGTTTGGTTTTCCAGGAAGCACACCTATCCTGTACCGGTTGCATTGAAACATTTGTTATAATATTTCGGAATTTCTTGATCCAAACGAGCATCTAACAAGCGGTTAGCAGCTTCTTGGTAAACCAGGTACCCCTTCTCGGCACACTCAATTAAAGTTTTTAACAGTTTTTAACAGTTTTTAACAGTTTTTGACGGTTTTTAACAGTTTTTTAACAGTTTTTAACAGTTTTTAACAGTTTTTTTAAACAGTTTTGAACTGTTTTTAAACAGTTTTTTTTTTTAGAAGTTTTTAACAGTTTTTAACAGATTTAACAGTAAATTTGAGTATCTTTAAAAGTTTCTAATTGATACATATTAACCTATTGTTTTATATTCCTTTATACCTATATTTATACATATTAGAATAAATTTATTTTGATTAAATTTTAGGTATTTATCTACTTCTCAAGCGTTGGCTGATGTTGCCTATGTTACCAAGTATTTAAAAACAACTTTTTCTGAAATCGAAGAACTTCAGCCAACAGTTGTAGTTTTTGGCGAATCATACGGTGGAATGTTAGCAGCCTGGCTAAGAATGAAATATCCTTATTTGGTAACTGGTACTATTGCATCTTCGGCACCTATCTTTGATTTTCCTGGATTGACAGAGTGCAATACGTTTTACGAGAAGATTACGGATGTGTATAATAAATATGGCGGTCAGAAATGTGTGGAAATGATTCAACGTGGTTGGGATATTATCGCAGCAGCTTTGTCTAAAAAGAAAATAGGTAATCATTTTAATGTTATTAGAATTATTGTTAATAATAATATAATACGTCTATTAGTAAAAATAGCAACATACAAAAATACAATACATAAAAAGTACTCATATAAAAGAGAAAAAACCACTTAAACAAACTTACTTGTGTTTATGTAACTATACTTTGTTGAATAAGCTAATGGATTATTTTTGCAGAAGAATAGTAACTAAATTAAGTCATATTTAGAAAATGGTTGTCAATGTGTTCTGTTAAAAGAAACATGTTTCTTACTTTCTTACGTTTTTCCTGTATACAAGCTGAGCAGATTGCCCCCTTCTATTTGGTATTCTCTAAAGTACAGTGCTCTTTAAGTCAACAATGTCCGGTAAGGATCTCCGTAGCCTGTTCTTTCGATCGTTTCTAGTTATAGTCGCCAGGAAGATTATTCCAAGAAATTATCTGTTTTCTAATCTCTACTAATATTGTGTTACTGCTAATACAGCAAAACGGTTTAACTTTCACAAATGTTGTTTAAACCCCCTTCGTCACGAGATTGTCTGCAAACGAATTTTTCTCTGTTCTGTTGTGTTCCGGGATTTAACTGAAAGTATTTTCCTTGTCTAGCTTATTTAGCTTTTTGAGCTAATTATATAAGAACTCAGCACTTTAATGGCTTCTTAACTATCGTAAATTTCTGTCTGAAAGATGCTCAGGTATTTACCCAAAATTGCAGAGTACCTGGTTTTATGCCCATACACATATTCAAATTCCTTCTGTGGTTTTGGAACCATTAATGTTGATATTAAATCAACGCCTTGGCACTTAGTTTATGAAAATTCCACTATTAATAATAAAATCAAAATATTCAATGAACTTATTACCCAATTATTCGATGTACATGCTTCACTTAAAACCATGATCTTTAAAAATAGTCCTAAACCATGGATCACTGACAATATAAAATTTATGATTTTTTTGCGAAATAGGGCGTTTACTAAATACAATAAAACAAAACAAAAATCTTACTGGGATTTATCGCTAAGTTTCGCCGAGACGACAGCTTCAGAATGGTGGGGTACTTCTACGTCTTCTTCTACTAGGACCTTTATCGGTTGAGTATTTTCTTTCGAATTTAGAACAATTTCCTCGTTTCCAATTACCAATATCTTGTTTTGAAGGTCGATGATAAACTTATTTTGCATAATGTCCATGTCAAGGACACACTGATCTTTACTATCGGCCACCAGAAATAAGTGTTTTATCAGGGTATTACCGATCTGTACGGTTGCTGATATCTCGCCTAGAACAGGAGTAATGTACCCTGTGGCTGTTTCTGGAACTAAGCTGCTTCGAGTTGGTCGTGGTTTTCAATGCAGGATCCCTGTTTAAATAAAAGACTTAGTTGCACCAATATCAAGGACGAAGGTGCCTTCTTGGATATCGATATACCCCTTGACCAATAGATTTTGTTCGTTTTTATTTAAGGTGTACGTGCGAATTTTGGGGCCCTCTGTTACATCCGACGCCTGCCCCGTAGTGTCGACCTTTATTCGTTTCCCTGACTATTGTTATAAAGCCGGCTAGGTGTGGCCCTGCTTCGACAAGATCTTTCAAGGTGTCCAATTCTTCCACAATTAAAGCATCTTCTGCTTTTATTTTGGCTATTTCGTTGCATACTTTGCAGGATATTTAAGATTTGTGAGAGGGTAGGTTGAGGGATTGAATTAATATATGTATAATAATTATCTTTGTTTTTTATTAATTCAGTACGCCAATTTATTTAATAAAATGAAATTTGAATTTATTACTTGATCTCTGTATCCACTCAAGGATGTGACTAAAGACTATATTTATTAACAGGCACTTGTCCTCCCAAAAAAAAATTATAAAATTTAAAAAATGTCTATAAAAAAATTGTTATATCTCCTTATCTCTTTAATAACAAACTTCCCCTCTTCCAACCAGTCAAATACTATCAAAAAGGGATTAGGGCAGCGCCGTCACCAGCCAAAGGGTCCTGGAGTCCAGAAGGAACATCCATTCACCAGTGGCAAATAAAACATAATAAAAAAATTAAATTAAAAGAATAAAAATTATCCCTTAATAGCATAGTGGAGCGGTTCTTGGCAATTAGTTTTAGAATCTTTTAGTCCTAAGGGAATAGAAACGCCGAGGCTTCTCAAATGCTCGGAGTATTTTACTGGTTTGGAAAGAGAGGAGAGATTAATAATAAGTATTAAAACATTTAAAAATGTATATTAACAATAAGTATAAAATTTTACTAATAGTCTTAAGAAAAAATGAATAAAATTCCATTTAGGGAATACAGAACTATAACTACATAATAATATAAAACTATGCATAAGATAAATATGATAATTCGGGACGAAAATGTAAAATTGGCATTTATATGTAAATCAATCATTATTAAACAAAACACTTTAAAATTAAGTTAAAAATATTTACCCATAATTTACAAATCGTACACAAAAGTTTACTTTACACATCACATTGTTTTGGGACTTAAAAAGTCCCAAAAAAAAAACGAGAGCTTTTGCCCCTTGGGCGGTTCTGGACCTTAGTCCGAACTCGACTGAGAGTTTACCCAAGAGTCTTTTTTTTCTCCTCTCTATATAAACCAAAATTTACACGATGGTTGTATTTAAAAAAAATATCACGCTCAACCCTAGAGTGGGCGCGTGATTTATTTTGGCAACAACAGGCGCATCCGTCTGACAAACAAGTGTTTTATTTAGTTTAAATTTAATTATACTTGTATTTAAACGTGTTTAACTATATTTATTATCAGAAAAATACAATAATAACATTTAGAAAGTATTTTAACAAAGCTCTAATATTCCTTTGTCACTACAACACAACATAAAACTTATTATAATTTTAAATGTATATACATAGTTAGTTTTCAAAACAATCATTACAAATAATACCAATGTGTTCCAAGCACATATATTTATAACATTTGCGACAAAAAAAGCGCGTCTTTCTGCATTTTCTTGAGCTGCATATTGCGCATCTCCCGGTTTGTTGGTTTGGTTAAGCAACTGCTTGTCGGGGGTTCCAGAAATTTATTGTAGTCTATTCCTTAAAGTTCTTGGAATAGTTTGCAGGTTTGATCGAACAGATAAGTGTGGTTTAATAAGTTCTTATGCTAAAGTTCTCAAGAATCCGCGCCTCTTTTGAGTGGAATTTGGATTATTTGAACAAAATACTACAAATGAGTTTATGCCAGCCAAATTTAGAATTGAGTAAAATATAACCATTGGCCAGCGCCTTGTATTTCTCGCAAGATTGTAATTGGCGCAAAGTCTGTCAACAACATCCACACCTTCTTTGGTATTATTATAGTCAATAATAATTTCTGGCTTTCCAGATTGTTTGTCGATATTGTCGTCATGATGCAAAGATGAAATGAGCACATTTTTTTTTTTGGGATATAGGAAACAATGGTGCAGTTTTTCGTAAATCCAAACATACTTGCTCCAACTCTATGTGTCGGACTGGAAAACTCTACAGGAAGTTCCCTTTTATTCTTACGGATGGTCCCTATAACCGTAAGTTTAAAATCTTTCAACAGGGTTTCCACAAGGGGCACGCTGGTAAACCAATTATCTAACGTTAGGTTTCTTCCGGAATTTTTAATTACATCGCAGAGCCTTACTACAACTGTATCATGACTATTGCTTTCCTTATATGGACCATCTGGTCGTAGTCCAACGTAAACTTTAAGATTACGTGTGTAAAAAGTTTTGGCGTCAGAAAGAGCAAAAATTTTGATACCGTAACCGTTCGGTTTGGAAGGTATATATTGCCTGAAGCTGCATTTGCCTCTGAAACTTTCAAGCTTCTCATCAATGGTGACGTATTCGGATAGACTATAGCCAGTTTTGCACTTATTGACGAATAAATCGAATAGTTCTCGAATAGGAGCTAATTTATCAACAGATTTTCTTGCCTCTCTAGTTTCTTTTTTGTAAAATCTTAGACAACGTAATAAAAATAAAAATGGCTTGATTGACATTGCTAACCTGAAAATTTCCACCCCGGATCCATCTGATCGCCATAATTCTTCAACATTTAAACGATTTGCTTTTATAACACCAGCATACAACAGCACTCCTAAACAGGCTTGCATTTCAATAGCATCAGTCGGTTTGGCATCCCTGTCCCTCTCAAAATTATAAGCTATTGACTCAATATATGCGTTTGTGTTTTCAATAAGAATGTTTAGCATTTCATCATCTATAAAGAATTTAAAAATATATTTGTAATTTTTCAAGGAATGCGTACCTAATCTCGAAATTGGAAGACGTAGCACCTTATTTTCACTTCTCGTTCTAACTCCTTTGGGCGGTAAATGTTTTTTCCATTTAGTCTTCTTATCTTTTCCTATGAAAAAGACTGAATTAGTAGGACCTGCCTCATGATCAGAGATATCTTCTTCCGATTCGCTTCCCGCTACTCTTTCTTCAACAAAATCGATTTCACCTTCTGACTCACTATCATCATACTTTTCATCCTGCTCTTCATCATCCGTAGATACCACTTCCATAAGGTGTTCAAGACGTGCTTGCTCCCTAAAACAACAAATGTAACTTACCATTTTGCTGTTGCAAGTCAAAAAATTGGTTGATAAAAAAAATCTAAAATTTATTCCCACATAATAATTTAATTTACCAAAAAGTATCAAAATGAATTTTTTTTATAATTATTTTATCATATAAACTTGTTTAGCATGTAGATTAACCTACCTCTATTATTTAGAGAATTGTAAATCGCATATTAAAACTAGTACACCAATAGGCGCGTTCGTCTCATAGACCGAAATATCAATAACTTGTCACACACTGAACGACTACGTTTATCATTTAACACTGATGTGCAGATCCGTGAACCAGGAGGGTACAAGCATGGTGGGGACTCAGAGTCCACGCGTAAGGAAAATATATTAAAAGTTTTAATTCTTGTCGGTCTCTCAGACGGCGCGCGCCTGCTCTAGGGTTAATGTATAGTCATTGGCTAGATTAATAACCTGATTGTTTGTTTTATTTTTATACGTGTCTTCCTTTTTAATTTTTAATTTAAAATATTAAAAAAAATTTGGTAAATTCTTTATATTTCCAACTAATAATAATGCAAATTATAAGATTTAAACTTTTCTCTTTTTCCTTTATTGTTTATTTTTGAGCTTTCTACTTAAGCATAGTATATACTTCTAGCATACTTGCACTTAAAAAATTTTTTTTTGCAGGTAAAGACGTCTTATCAGAATTAAAAATATGTTCAAAAATTGAGAGCACCAAGGACGTTGAAAAAGTATTAAATTGGTTACAGAATATCCTCGTAACTTTGGCAATGGCAAATTATAATTACCCAACCAATTTGTATACTCCTTTACCAGCCTATCCTGTGAAAGTCTTCTGCGAAAAACTCACTCCTTATAACGAAATCAACAACAACAGTTTTATCCACCATTATAGTCGTGCTTTAGACTTCTATACCAACTATACTGGAAATAATTTGTGCAACAATATTAACTATATAAACGAAGATTTGACTGAATTTGCTTGGAATTATCAAAAATGCACAGAGCTCATAAGTCCTAGATGCTCAACTGAAAACGATATGTTTGTCACAAAACCTTGGAATTATGAAAAATATGCCCACGACTGCAATGCAAGATTTGGGGTTAAAAATGTTCGACCGGATTGGGCTACACTGGCTTATGGAGGAGAAGATTTAAAATATTATTCCAATATAGTTTTTAGTAATGGAGATATGGAACCATGGCTAACTTCTTCCGTTGTTGACAATATAACTAATTCTATATTTTCAATTAATATTCCTGATACTACAAACCAAGTGGATTTGAGACAATATAATCCGGCTGACAATAACTATGTTACGGAGACAAGAAATTTTCATATTCGTACCATCATGCAATGGTTAGACGGTGAAAACTAAAACTGTTATTTTAGTTTTTGATATTTTTGGGTTGTAGATGTTTTATTGATTTGTAAATATTTTCGTGCTTGTTTGTGCCGTCTTCTCAGTGGATACTAGTTTTATTATTTTTTGTTTAAATTAATATTATTTAATAAATTATTAAGTAATATTATTTTATATTGGTTACTTAATGCAATATGTAATTGTATTAGATATTGTATTTTTGTTTTATTTAACAGTGTTTATTTCTAACAAAGGAAAAAGAAATAATAATTGATAATGGGGTTATGTGAAACTATTAATACTTTAATCATATCTTTTATCGTATCTTATCTCATTGCATTAAGTGGAATTTAATTTTTTTTTTTTTGAAATCATGTCAAGAAAAATTTTTGTTGTAACATAAAACATCTGGCAAAAAAAATTCTAATATAATTACCTACATAATGATTAAAAAAAAAAGATAAAATATAAAAATAGTTAATTATTCATTAAATAATATTAATATTAACAAAAAATTATAAAATCCGTAGTGACGAAAGCACAAACAAAAGCCAAAAGTTTTAAAAATCCGAAGAACTGTATTTTCATTAAAATAAAAATTTAAAAAACTCCTACAATATCAAAAATATACCAATAAGGTGTAAAAACTACAAAAATTCATGGTATAATGAACAAATAATTTTATTAGTAGAAATAATGGTTGGATTTATTATATAGTTTTTAGTTGTTGTCTATCAATACATATCTTGGTAGATCATAAAAGTAGTTCATAATTTGATTCATATATTGACAATATTATTTGTAAAGTTTTCAAATAAAACTAATAAAAAAAATTATTAAATTAGTTTATATATAATTTTGTTTTTTTTTTTTCAAGAAACTCCACAATGAAATATTCAGAGAAGTTTGCAAACTTAGGTTTTTAATTATAAAAATCTGATGTGTCCAACACATGACTTTCCTATCTAGTTATTATAGGCTTCCTCTGGTTATTTTGTACAATCTATTACAGCACCTCTATAAATGTTTAGAGGTAAACTAAATATATACATTTTCCACAACTAACTCGAAACAGTTTTCTTTAGATATTCATTATAACAGATATATTCCATAAAATCTAATAATTTCACGTCAGGCCGAAAAAAAACTTAAATTTAAAATTTGATATTTTTTCCTTTATCCGTTTTCGAGTTTTCTTCAAAATACGAAATTTACACATTTTCTCAAATATCCCGAATACGGTCCATTTTAGAAAAATTATGTATGGGATAAAAATTATAGAAAATTATATTACAAACAACTTTTATTTAAACAATTTTTATAAAAAAATATTTTTTTACCATTTTGTTTAATTTTAGGAAAATTTTGTATATATCAAAAAATATTGATAATAATATTTTAAGTAACTTTTATTTGAAGAATGTTCTTCTTCAAACGTAAATAACAGATATATTCTATGAAATATAAAAATTACCACCTATTAAGTACCCAAAACCTAATCAGTTCATTGGACGCAAGAATAAAGCTTAAGTTTAAAATTTGGTGTTTTTCTTTGTATCGGTTCATGAGTTATGGTGGATGCAGACACACAAACACAGACAGACATACACACAGAAACACACACACACGCACACACGCATGCGCGCGCGTAAATCATCTCGAAATTAGTCAAAACGGATTAAGGGAACCCCAAAACGTAAAAATCCGTCGAAAACTGGAGGTCGAAACAATCATGATTCCTATACTTTCCTTATCTGTATACAGATAGGAAAGTAAAAAGGTTAGTTGACAATTAGTCCATTTAAAATGACGGTAAAAGGTCGAGATCTTTTACCGTTATTTTAAATGAACTAAATGTCTTAAATTGGTTTAGGCGGGAATATTCTCCAAAAATGGTCTTCTACCATTGCCAATATCGACAGAAAAACCCGTAAAATGTGTAACTCCATTTTAAGAAACTCACTTAAATGTATTTCTTAAAATTAGCTCTGTGTGTTTTACATGTGTTTTGGTAGAGTCGATTACAATTAGAATATTGTTTTATACCTAACAACTTACTTATTTTTTATTTATTGATAGTTTAGTCCAGTAAATGAAGGACCGAAAAGATCGAAAGCTGTAAAAAAATCGCTGATGAGTTCCCACGTAGCTCAATTTGTAGGTATTCGCAGGTTTTTTAAATGAGAAAATCCTTAACGCGTTCTTGGTACCGGAAGGGGCTGAAAATGGACCCCTAAACTCTGAAAAACAGGTTTCCTTAAAAAATATCTGGCTAAATATGCCAATTAGAGAATTTTTGTTCAGACAAAAAATGAAGATCAGCTCATTCTCTACAAAAATGATCCCTAACAATTTTTTCGCAATGCCAATATTTTTTGCAAAATCCATAATTTTCATTTTGAATAGATATGATATGATATGATAGATGAGATTGGAAATGCATTGATCTTTATCTTTTGGACTTTAGAGATCAACTGCACATAGCGCCAGAACCTTCGCTCTTCTCGCTAAATTACGGAGTCCGTAAATCTCAGAAATAATCGATTATTCGACAATTACTGGCGGATTTTACCTGATTTGTTTCTGCAAAGTAGCGTTTGGGCTTTCTCAATTGTATTAGCGAATGTTCTGTGCAATTTGAGTTGCAAATTTACCAGAAAATTGCAAAAATTTATTTTTCCTTGTGCCAAGGTCTTAAATCCCGTTGTTTTGGCTAAAAGCAAATGACAACTTTTAGAGCGTGGTAAATATTCACCATACAAACATTCTAAACATTTTTCGCATTTTTGCGACTTTTTTGCGGATTTCGGAAAAATTACACAAGTCTTTGAAAAATTACATTTATTTGGAAGAATTGGTTGGATATAAAACATACATAACAACCCTTAGGGTGTGGTCAACCACTCCAAGTCATCAGAATCATATACATATTCTTTATAGTCAACGGTATTCTCGTCGCCTACTCCCTCTTGCTCCATTTCTACCCTTCCCCCTGTCGTCCTTTCTCTCTTTTCCTTTAGCTGTATTTCTGCCTCCTTGCTTTGCAACCCTTCTGTCTCTTCTTCTACCTCTATTTCTACTTCCACCTCTAATTCTTCCGGGAATATACCTTCATTTCTTTTATAATTTGAACATTGTGTCAACTGACACGAACCACAGATGGACGAGCATTTCAGACCTGTTTTCAAACATTAACAATTTTGTGTCAACTGACACTAACCACAGAAGGACGAGCATTTCAGACCTGTTTTCAAACATTAACAATTCTGCTCGCAGCCTCTCTTATACTGACAAAAAATCATCTTCAAGAGTTCCGGTGGGGCTGGATCCCGTGTGGTCTGGACCGGTAATAGCATTTCCCCTGCACGTTTCCAGCTCCATTCCTTTGGTGACAGTTCATTCCCCAGCCAATTCTGTACTTGTAAATACACCCTATAAAAGTGCTGCCTAGCAGCTTCAGCGGTAGGGGGCAAGTATTCTGGTTTTATTGCAGTTTTGTTTGTGGACAAGTGGTTGAAAGTCCATCTCTCCTTGCTCACTCGAATCAAATTTTCTAAACCACGAGTAACGTTTACACCATCATCCACAACATCGTCCTTACAAAGAAAGTATTTTGGAATGGAATCCGCTTCCATTTCAACAACACCAAGAGCTACCAAAAATAGATGATCCAACCGTTAGAACAATTACACCAAGTTTTTAAAGTTGAGGCAAAATAAAACAAACCTTATTATCTGCTTCAAACAAATAAATTCTTGCATATCCTTTCTTGTAGATAATAATAACGTGGGAATTTCTCATTTTAAACACTTCTTATTTTTTTTATAACTGAATTAATTTAATGAAAAATATTTATTTTATTTTAAATAAATAATTCAAAATAAATAATGAAAAAATATCATCAGTACATGAATAATCCAATCAAGACGACGACTCCAAAACAGAAATTGTATACAACACATGCAGACAACTATCGCCGCGTGGGTACACGAGGTTTAGGTTATATACAATATCATGGATCTCAGAGGGGGAGCGTAAAAATGAAGTATATAATTGTAACAACCTTTTTAAAACCAAGAACGAATATTGGGATTGACTTATTTCAATGGAAAGGTCAGAAAACAAGTTTTACTTCGATCTAGTTATTAATCCTCAAAAAATAAAGACCGGGGAACAAGAAATGGTTAAACAAAAAAAGGCCGGTTTTCACTCGTGTGATCAATTTTCCTCATTTCTTGAAAATTATTAGACTCTATTGAAAATAAAGAAATATATTCGAAAAGTAGACCATCTAAGCTTTAAAATGATGTGCATTGGAAATTAATATAACGGATCCTAAGATTATAATTCGCGCTTGTTCCGAAGATTCTATGGAACTCCGAAATCGTCTAAAACATGTAAATAAACAATTCAATTTTGTATTTAAACGCAAGAAAAGTAGGTATTACAAAAAAATTTCTGAGATTATTCAAGACCCCCAAGGTCCCATTATAAAGGCAAAATTAGAATAAATGACTATTTTTAAAGAAAATATAAATAAATTAATGAAGCAGTCTCTAAATATTGTTAAAAAAAACTTTGACCGCTTTTTTAAATATTTTTGGGACATACGAACTGACTTTAAGTCACATGGAATTGTAGATACGGGTTTTCCCATTGAGATGAACTTTGAATCATCGAAAAATATCAATTTTTTTTCGAGATATGGAACAATTCGTCCGCCCGCTTACACGTTAATTCATATAAAGCGGAATTCCTGTAGGTAGAGCAACAGCTAAATTGAGGGGACTTTTGAGTGCCATTATCTCGAAAACTATTGAATTTTCGATGAAAATGATAAAGGCCATTTTTGTATATAATGAGCTGTTATTCATTTTTTGTATAAACAAAAATTCTCTAATTGGCATATTCAGTCGGATAATAGCGGGAAACACATGTTCCAGGTTTTAGGGGCCAATTTTCAGCCCCTTCCGGTACCAAGAACGCGTTAAGGATTTTCTTGTTTAAAAACACCTGCGATGACCTACAAATTGCGCTATGTGAGAACTCATCAGCGAATTTTCTACAGGTTTGACCCTTCAGTTACTGGACTAAGTTATAGATAATATGTATTCGAAATTTGAAGTACTG